GCAAAAGGTCAGGGGCAAATTGTTTTTGTAATATTCGTTTGTGTATCCGTCGTTTCCTGGAGATTTGTTAAGAGGGAGTGTTTTGATGGTTATTTCTATTTCTTTGGGAGATATTGGAGAGTTGAGATGGGGGGAGAGTTGGAGAAGTTTAGTTTTGTATAGAAATTGTTGTATGGATGTTAGTGTTGGTTGTATAGTGCCAGGATCATTTTTAAGATTGTAAAAATGTTGATAATAATTTGCAAAAGCATTAACTATTTCTTATGGTTTTGTGGTTAAGGTATGTGTGGTTGGGTGTTGAACTGAGGATATTTTGGATTTTAGGCGTCGTTTGATCATTTTGGTTAATAGAGAATTGGCTTTGTTGCTCAGGGAGTAAAATTTAGTTTTCGCTTTTTGGAGGTTAAGGTCATATTTATAAAGCAGGAGGGTTCTAAGTTTGTTTCTGTCTGTGGTGAGGGAAGCAGAGATTGAGGGGTTTGGGGATTTTTTGTTTAGTTCTTTTGTTTTAATTGAGATGAGGAGTTTGTCAGTTTGTTGGTTTCTTTGTTTGGTAATGCGGGAGTTCAGTTGTATAAGAATACCTCTCAAGTATGCCTTGTAAGTGGATCATAATATAGGTATAGAGATATCAGGTGTATCATTAAGGTCAAAAAACATGTTGTGTGCGTCCAGTATGTGTTTCTTGTGGTCTGGATTCTTCAGTAGTGTCAGATTCAATCTCCATATTTGAGGGATCGAAGAGTGTTGATTGTGGTCAAGAGTAATGGTCATTGGAGCGTGGTCTGACCATGTTATGGTGCCGATCTTTGAAGAAGTGACGTGTTGTAGAGTCCATTTGTCTGTGATGAAAAATCAATTCTGGAGTAGGATAGATGGGATGGGGAGTAATAAGTGTAATCTTTTTCTGTGCTATGTTGGCATCGCCGGATATCGTAGAGATTGTTGTTATACAAAAATTGGTTGAAATAGTGTTTGGAGGAGCATTTGTTAGAGGAAGAGTCCAGAAGTGGATTGCCTATGATGTTGAAGTGTCCACCAATGAGAAGTCTGCCTTGTTTTTGCGAGGTGATGGTTGAGTTGAGTTTGTTGTAGAATTGGAGTTGGTTGGTATTTGGACCGTAGACTTTGATTACGGTGTATAGGATTTCATTGATTTTGCATACCAGGATATAGTAGCGGCCTTGGGGGTCTGCCGTTCCTGAAATGTATTGGAATTGAAGGGAGTCTATTATGGCTGTAATGACACCTTTTTTTTCTTGGAATTTGTCACCATATACATTGAAGAAAATTGGTGTATATTGAATTAGGGATTTTAGTAGAGGCAAAATGTGTTTCCTGCAGGAATAGGACATCAGCTTTTATTGAGCGGCTTCTTTCAGAAGTAAGGATCTCTTATAAGAGGAGTTAAGGCCACGGACATTTAAGGATGATATGTTAATCATTTTGTTGAGTGTGAATGGGTTGTATGAGGTAGTTATATCTTAGGTTGTTGAGTAAGGTAGGTTTTCTTTTGTCATAGGTGGTCTTCCAGAGGTGTGATGTTGTGGGCTTGGTTTCACTGGATTGGGGAAGGTTTTTCATCATGTGGTGGAGGTCTTTGTAAGGAGAGAGATTGACTTGACTGACTGGTGATGCGAGGAGGGGAGAGGGGTAAAAAAACACTTGTAAAAAACACAAGTAACATGTGTAGCACAGTTTGCTACTGCATATTGGGGGGGGGGGGGGGGGTTTGAACAAGCATGACTCGCAAAGGATGTCATGCTGAAAGCAAACTTGGAGTTTGGAAATGTTCGTATAGTGGCCGTCTGCCAGCTGTTAGTGGTTTGTGAAGCAATGCCCAGCTTGTTGGGTATTTAGCGGTGTAAGAAGATGTTGGATCATGACCATTCTGCGTCCATTTGCTGAGGGCAATTAGGGGCAGATTGGTGAGAGTCTACTGGGATAATGTTCCATGTTTTCAGGAGATCGATGCCTGCTTCCAGAGTTTTGATCGTATAAATACTTCTTTGGTGTTTGACGGTAGGCTTCGTGGGGAAACCCCATTGGTAGCCGATTCCGTAATTCCGCAGTGCCTTTGTTATGGTGACAAGCTTCTTTTGGTTGAGGAGTGTAGCTTTGGATAGGTCAGCAAATAATTTGATGTTCGCTTGAGATGGTGGAATTTAAGTGGGATTTCTAGGGGCTATCATTATTTTTTCTTTCACGTGGTAGAAATGTATGCGTGCCAATGTATCCCTGGGTATTGCGGCCGGTAGGAATGACGGTTTGGTATTCTGTGGGCGAGGTCTATGGCGAGTTCTATATCTGTGAGAGAAGGGATGAGGTGCTTCATGTATTGTTGGATATAGGGAACCATGGTGTCATTAGCGATGGATTCAGGAATACCGCAGAATTTAATGTTGTTGCGCCTGGAGCGGTCTTCTAGGTCTGACAGTTTAACCCTTGACGCCAACGGCACACAAATATGCAGCCTCACGGAACTGGGCTTTTTTCCATGGGGCCGCATATTTGCGTACCTGTCTTTGTGCTGGGAGCGTGGCGCTCGGTGCACTCCCAGCACAGGGACCGTGGTGTCACTGAGAGCCCCAGGTCCCGTTCTAAGGATCGGGACCCGGGACTCCCGAATCTGAGTCACGTGATCGCTGTGATAGCCTCTGATTGGCTATCAAAGTGATCAATCACTGTGCAGCCCGGCCCCCTTGTTTTTTTTCTCTCTCTATGAATGGAGAAGAGAGATACATTGTATCTCTCTAACTCCTGACATAGAGAGATAAAAAAAAGTTTGTAAAAAAAAAAAAAAAAAAAAAAAAAAGATAAATATTTATTAAAAAATAAAATAAAAAATAAATAAAAATACCTAGATCAAGGTTTGATCTAGTTCAGTGCCAGGGTTAGTGTTTGGGTCAAAGTCAGGGTCAAAGGTCAGGATTTAAAAAAAAATTGGTATCAGTGTCAGTTAGCGTTAATGTCAGTGTCAGTGTGTTTTAGGTAAAAAAAAAAAAAAACAAAAACAAAATGCGCACTATTGTTTCTGGGCTGTACTACGGGTACAAACAACAAATAACATACACATATATGGCATTGCTGCGATCATAAAGAGCTGGAGAATTTATTTTGGGTTGTTCTATGGAGGTAGGTTATGGTCGTCATAACAAGAAACACACAGCTAAATAAAAAAAAAACAACAATTTTTTTTTACTATTTTGGGCCAGTTTTCATTTGATAATAAAAAAAATTAGGAGCTATCCATTACCATTTACTACCAAATGAAAGCCCAATCTGTCCTGAAAAAAACAAGGTATAATCCATCTGGATGTACAAAGTAGTTGTGATGATATGTACGGTTTTACCATCACATGTCAACGTTGCAGAATTGTGCTTAGGCATTTAGATTTAATTTACCCTTGCGTGAAGGTGTTAAGATTTCTTTGTTCAGTATTAACTCATGGTCTGCGTGTGCATCTATTAGATTGTTGTGAGCCGTGCACATTTCTCCCATTTTGTTCTCATATGGCGGATACTGTGTTCCTGTTTTTGTACCGAGATTTGGGATAGCGTTGTTGTCAGATAATTATGCAATGTTTGTCGCAGAGAAAGAGCATGTTTTTCATGGAGATTTTAGGTTGGTCAGAGGCAGGAAAGGATTCAATTAAAGATGGAGAAGTGTTTTCAGAGATTGTAGCTGGAAAAGAATGTTGTCTGTCAGGAATGGTGTCTGTGTCCAGTCTGGGCCTGGATTTAGTAGGGCTACTGGTAGAAGGAGACAGGGAAGGAGAGGACTCACCCGGGTCTCCTTGGTACAGTGGTGCCCTGAGCTTGGGATCCAGATGCTGTGCTGAGCTGTCCCCTTCATGCATTATGAGGCTGCTTGTCATGCAGCCGGCACCATCTTGGCTGCAGGGATTTATAGCAGGGAAGAAGCTGGTAAGCTTCCCTGGCTGTCCCGGAGCTTTGCGGCGGTGGGTCATCCTGTATAGAGGGTTCCATGACCCTTATTTATGTGTTGGAGCCGGTTATGACAGCTGGGGTAGGTGTGAGCTGCGCCGGTGCTGGCGGGTGGATGGAGCTCTTCTCAGTGAGCGTCCATCCATGAACTGGCTGCAAATGCGCCCCCATCACTGGGGTTTTTTTCTTTTTGCGCTATAAACGGAAAAAGACCAAAAATGTCAATAATTTTTTTTTTACTTTTTGCTATAAAACATATCCAATAAAAAAAAATTTAAATTCTTCTTACATTTAGGCCAAAGTTTATTCTGCTACATGTCTTTGGTAAAAAAAAAAAAAATCCCAATAAGTGTATAATAATTGGTTTGTGTGTAAATTACAGCGTCTACAAACAATGGTATACATACTAGAATTTTTTTTTTATACTAATAATGGCTGTGATCAGCAACTTATAGCAAGACTGTGATAGTACAGCAGGCATTCTGACACTAACTGACACTGCGTGGGAACTGACTAACTACTACTGACATCTTCAGTGACACTAATACAGTGGTCAGGGCTGATAAAGAGCACTGTCACTATACTAATGACACTGTGCAGGAAGACGTTAACATCTTGGATGGTCAAAGGGTTAACTGTGTGCCAGGGAGTGTTATTACTGTGTTTTGTTTGATGTTTTACTAGAGGATGTGCTGGGTTTTATGCACTGCTTTGCATAAAAACCATAGGAGCTGAATGCGTTTCTGGCAGATTAATAGATACTGTATGTTTGTTTCATTACAGGGTCTTTAACCACTAGCCTACAGGGCACTTATACCCCCTTCAGGGGCGGACTGACAACTCATGGGGCCCCAGGGCAGTAGGGGATCATGGGGCCCCTGTGTCCTTGCCCAAACTCAAAAAAGCCAATGAAAAAGGTGTCATGCAACATGACATTGTGACAGATAGAGCTTTATTTTGGTGGTATTTAATCACCTCTGAGTTTTTTATTTTTTCTTAAACTAACCAAAAACCACTGAAAATTTTGAAAAAAAAAGTTTTTTCTTAGTTTTTGTTATAAAATTTTGTAAATAAGTGACTTTTCTCCTTCACTGATGTGCGCTAATGAGGCTGCAGTGATGGGCACTGATAGGCTGCACTGATGGACACTGATAGGTGGCACTGATGGGCACTGATGAGAAGGCACTGGTAGGTGGCACTGATGGGCATTGACAGGCATCACTGATGAGCACTCATATATGGCACTGATAGGTGGCACTGACGGGCACTGATAGGCTGCACTGACTGGCACTGATGGGTGACACTGAAAGGCAACTCAGATGTGGCACTGGTTGGCACTGAAATGTGGCATTGATGTGGCACTGGCAGTGGCATGGATGAGCACTGACAGCTGGCACTGATGGACACTGACAGGTGGCACTGCTGGGGCTACACAGATCATCAGGGCACACTGATCATCAGTGCCCTGATGATCAATGTACATGTCCCCTCTGAGGGATGCCGATTACCGGCTCTCCTCTCGAGCTGTCAGTGTGACAGCTCGTGAGGAGAGAAATGCAGATAACCGTCATTTCCCTGTTTACATGTGATCAGCTGTGATTGGACACAGCTGATCACATGACCAAGCCGACATCTTTGGCTCTTTCCATTGTTCCTGTGTGGATAGGGATCCTGTGATATAGGATTCCCATTTGTGGAAATAGTAGGACTCCTTTGAGGAGGTTGGGGAGCTCTTGTTTAACGCCCGTCAGTGTTGGAGATCCAATGGTCCGTCTAGCTATTAGGAGAACTGTGGATATCCAAGGTTTGTTGTTTCTGAAGGATGTTGTTTGAGAGGAGAAGAGGCCAATGACTGGCTGTTCCAGATAGCCAAAGAGGAGCGGTAGCGGGTCAATAGGTATTTGGAAGGTGATGATGACAGTTATGAAGTTGACCACTTGTTTCCAGAATATGGAAATAACAGAGCAAAGCCAGAATCTGTGTTGTAGTGAAGGTTTTTGACTTCCACAGAGAGGGCAAGTAGACAGAGCCTGGTTACTTCTTGAGTAGAGACAGGGCATATAGGCATGGTGAAGAAGCTTGAGTTGTTGTTCATGCCAGAACTCGTTGTGATTGAAGGCACATGTGGAGTTGAAGCCAGATAGTAGTTGGTCAGCTGTAAATGTATTGCTTAAAGTCTGTGATCCAGGATTTCACAGCATTGAATGTCTCAAGAGGTTTAGCGTACAGTAGATTCATGGGTTTGTTCGATATTTTATACTTTCGAGAGTTCGCCAAGACATCAATGAATGTTGTCTGAAATCTAGTAGATTTAATAGGTGCCACAGAGTTGACAAAATTTCTCACTGGAAGGATATAAAAAAAGTGGTGCGTTGGTAGACCTTAGATTTGTAGGACGCTGTTGAGAGGCTTTGGGGAACCCGTAGAGCTATCATACAAGTGCTATATCAAAGTTAAATCCTGGACCAGCCAGGTATCATAACCATCATAAGTTTGCGGGGGGAAAAAGGAGGGGTTATGATGGATTGGAAGAAAATGAGAGAGCCACAGAGAGACCCCTAGTTTACGTCTGACTTCCCTCCATGTAATAAGGGTATCACGGATGAGCAAATTATTTCAAGTGGGGTGGTAGTTAACATTAGAATGTAGTAGGGTCGATAGGTCATAGGGATGTGCTAATGCAGATTCACTGTGATGACTGGAGTATTTAGAGGATTGGGTGAGCCAGTCTAGACATATACGGAGCAGACATGACAGATTGTATGCTTGCACGTTTGGAAGACCCGATCCTCCCTCACTTCGCGGAAGAAATAATTTGGCCAGTGCCATGCGGGGACATTTGCCTTTCCATACACAGGTTGAAATTGCCCGATTTAAGCCTCGTTACGTCTCTGTGTTTAAGGAGGAGAGGTATGGTCTGGAGCGGGTAGAGGAGTTTCGGGAAACTTACCATCTTAACCACTTCCCGACCGGCCGTTGCATATAAACGGCCGGACGGTGGCACTGCAGGGTCGGGTGGCCGTTTATAAACGGCCTCCCCGCACCCTGCTTGTGCGTGCTTCCTGGGAGCACGCAGCACCGCGATCCGGTGCCCGCTGTGTCCTCCGGACACAGTGAAACACCGATCGTCGGACGGAACCTCTGTACGAGGTCCCGATCATGTGATCACTGATTGGCCAATCAGTGATCACATGCAAAGCAGTAAGCAAGATGTCACTTGTGACATGATTGCTTACTACGTGTGAAATCTGTGAATGATCACAGAGGTCACATGATACAAGGCTATTCACAACAGCCTTTCTACCATGTGACAAGCTGTGACCAATCACAGCTCACTCAGTACTTCTCAATGACTGCAAGAATGCAGACAGAGAGAAATGATTGCTTTTACATCCTATATGGATATAAAAGCAATCAGTGTAAAAAAAAAAAAAAAAATCCTCATCACCCCCCACAAGTAGTACAGTGTCACCATGGTGACACTGTACTGCTAGGGTGACAGTATGTAAAAAAAAATAATAAAAATAAAAAATAATAATATAAAAAAATAAAATAAAAATGTAAAAAAAAGTTTAAAAATTATAATTTTTGGTTATAAAAATTTTTGGATTTTGTTTTTTTTACTAAAAAGATAACGGAATAAATTTTGGCCAAGATTTATGATGGAATATTGTTTATTTGCAAAATTTTATAAAAAAAAACACTTTTTTTCAAAATTTTGGGACTTATCCATTTACATAGCAAAAAAATAAAAAAATCCCAGCGGTGAATAAATACCACCAAAATAAATCTTGGTCTGTCTCAAAAAAATGGTAAAAAATTAATTTGGGTACATTGTTGCATGACCGCGCAATTGTCATTTAAAGTGTGATAGCGCTGAAAGCTGAAAATTGCCCTGGTCAGGAAGGGGGTAAAAGTGTCCAGTCTGGAAGTGGTTAAAGAGGTGTGATCTGCCCAGGAGTGAGAGCGGTAGATCCTTCCACATTTCTAGTTCCCCAATGATTTTAGTAATCATGTGCGTATAATTTAGCTCATATAGAGATGAAGCTAGTATCCCTATCTTTATGCCTAGATAAGTGATATGTTTGGTAGCAGTTTTAAAGGTCGAATTTTGCATCCACAGAAGGAGGCGGGAATGAAATATTGGGAGCACTTCACTTTTGGAAAAATTTATACGAAGCCCTGAACAAAGGCGGAAGGATGAGAAAATATGTTGAATGTATGGTAGGTCCAGAGATGGGTGTGAGGTAAAAATTAATAAGTCATCTGCAAACAAAGCAAGCCTCAACTCCTGTTGTCCTATTGTAATGCCATGAAGGTCAGAGTGAAATAATAGGAAGCGTGCCAGTGGTTCCAAGGCCAAGTTGAAAAGTAGAGGTGATAGAGGGCAGCCTTGTCTAGTTGGATGGGGTTAGAAATATTGCCTGCTGCTATGACCTGAGCTGTTGCAGATGAGTACATGGCTTGGATTAGGTGCATAAAGTAGCCCTCAAAACCAAGCTTCCGTAATGCTAAGAATAGCCAATCGAAGTTGACATTGTCAAATGCTTTTTCGGCATCTAATGAGACAATTGCTATGTCTCGAGTGGTGTCGCTAGGTGCCTGACTCAGGACAGAAATCACCTTGCAGATGTTTGAAGCCGCCGAATGACCCTGTACAAACCCCGCTTGCGATGGATGGATAAGAGCAGGCAGTATAACTGCTAGACGAGAGCCGATAATTTTTGACAGGAGTTTTGCGTCAAGGTTCAGTAGAGATATTGGCCGATATGATCCAGGTTCCGTCAGGTCTTTATCGTTTTTGGCGATCAATTTAATATGGGCTTGAAATCCGGAGGCAAAGTAGTCCCCTCCTCCCTGAATGGATTGGAAAAGGGTAGGAGAAAGAGTTTCAGCCATGACTTTGTAAAATTCAGCTGTGTAGCCATCTGGTCCCGGGGCTTTACCGATTGTAAGTGATTTAATGGCTGAGGATATATCCACCTGAGTGATGTCAGAGTTTGTAGTGCAGTTGGATCTAACCGTGGCAATGAGATAGTATCTAGGAAGGAAGTGGCCTTGGCAGTGTCTATAGGATCTGATCCTTATAGAGTTTGATAGTAATTTTCTAAAATGGAAATAATGTCTAACGGGTCACTTTTTAATGTTCCCTGTGTATTCCTCACAGATGAAAAGAGGGTAGGTGTGAATGGTTTTCTACATAACCGTGCTAAGAGCTTGCCCGGCTTGTTGCCGAATTTATGAAATTGCAGGTCACTATGGGATTGGTGTGCGGCTTCTTGAGCTGCTGCCCTTGTATCAAAGTGTTTTTTGACCTCTGACCATGCTTTCCTATTTTCATGGGAGTTGAGATCTGCCAAGTCTCTTTGTGTCTGTCTTAGACGGAGGCTTGCTTCTGTGTAATTGCGGAGAAGGTTTTTCTTATAGGTAGATGTAAACGCTTTGATTCTACCTCAGAGAACCGCCTTGCCTGTTTCCCAAAAGAGATTGGGGTTAGTTTGGTGCTCTGCATTTGTGTCACAGAATTCAGACCAGGCAGTATTTAATACTTGGAGTAAATCCTGATTTTTGGCAAGGAAGGATGGGAAATGCCATGTACGTGAGTGTTGTTTATGCTTTGCGTGCTGTACGGAGATAGAAATCGGGGAGTGGTCGGAAATCGCTATGTCATGTATCTCCGAGTCTTTGATGTTTTGTAATATAAGATTTTTGATAAAGAAATAATCGATCCTGGACAGAGTATGGTGAACGGGGGAAAAGAACGTATATTCTCTTCCTTCTGGATGTGACAGACGCCAAAAGTCTATGAGTTGTAGTGCTTCTGTGAAGCTGTTGAACAGCGTGTGCATAGTGGGAGGAGTGGGGAGGGATGGGCAATTTGCTGTAGTAGGTTTTGATTTATCTTCCTATGCGTTCATGTATTGGTTGAAATCCCCTCCTAACACTAATGGAAGGTGTATGAAGTTCGATAAGTTCGAGGAGAGATCTTGGAAGAATGGCTTGGGTGAGGAGTTCGGGGTATATATGTTAGCCAAAATCAGTGGGGAGGAGTCTATTTTAATGTGTACAGCTACGTATCGGCCCTCCTCATCCATATCTACCATGATGTCAGCGGTAAGACGTTTATGTAGAAGGATAATTACTCCTGCTTTACCACTGGGTGAGGGTGATCCCAGCACTTGTCCCACCCATAATTTTTTGATGTGCGTAAAATCCGTTTGTTTTAAGTGGGTTTCTTGAAGAAATGCGATATCAGTTTTCATGCGTTTGAGATGACGAAGGACAGTCACGCGTTTGTGGGGCGATCGTAG